GTGAAGAATATTTCGCAATCCTGCTTTGGTTTATCGAACAAATCTCGCAAACAGTCGATAAATTCGTGACCGGCGTAGAACAAAGGATTCTCTCCGACAAACTTGACAACAAATTTCTCTAGCCGTCGCACTTTAATACCGCTTAACATACGGATAAGAGTGCAAGCGCTTTCTCTGTTGATGTTTTCGTCTTGCTTACACTGGATCTCAACACGCTTAAGATACTGACCATGATTCTCCAAGAATTTGCCGTATTTGAACTCCCTTGCATCGACGAATCTGAACAGAAATGTCTGCCATAACACTGAGGAATGAAAACATTCTCGCCACTGTTTAGAAGCTAGCGAAGCTGAAAGCCTGTCTGGTAGCCTGAGGTATGAAAAGATCCCCACCACAATGTGCTCAGGTAAATTTTCCCACTTCGGTTCTTCCATCGATGGAATCCACGAGCAAACAGATGAATTCAGCAGTACCAGCGTTGTTGTGATCGGAATTTGAACGCNTAAAAGAAGCTACGTTAGTGAAATTTAGTTCAGGTTACAAACATACTCAATTCAACACAACTATTTTTTAAAATAACTGAGTAGACGTTTTAAGTTGATCCTCATTTGTTCCTTGAGGTAAAATAGGCCTGGAAAAAGAACACATATTTGCCTTGCCCGCCCACATTCGACGAAATCGTCGGTCACACGAAAGCAGAAAAGGCGAAATATTTGTAACTTCTCACGTACACATTTCGCCTGTTTTTTGGTTAAAATGGATAAAATCATTAAAGGAAGTGATTAATGAGAAGAACAGATGGGATCAGCGACCGTTAAAAAGAATAAATTGCAGGCGAAGGTGCCAAGCCGTTGATGTATTGCCACATGAATTACGTGCGCAGTAAGTATGCGCAGTAACAATGGGCGCGAACGTCCTTCAGACTGTTTCAATGCCTTCGAATTCTTTGTTTGCCTGATTATCTATCTAATGATGGCGTTGAGTGATTTCGGCGCCCATTTGGATTTTGGATTTCCGTTACTCTTTTAGATGCATCAAGAAATTAAAGTCGGCGGCACTAGATTATAATAAGGTGCTGGGACCTACTTAGTGCGAGTTGGAGAGTTTGGAGATGTCGCTAATCTGAGATTAAATGTTAAGAGATCTAAAGCGATTTGACTCGTAAAGTAAAAAAAAAAAACATAGTCCTTTACAGCTAAAATACCTTCAAACCTCGGTCAGAATTTTAATGATACAATTCTCTTATGATGAGAAAGGAAATAACGAATGTAATTTCAATATTACAACAAGGAAGTTTGCAAACAAACCTCGAAACGTGAAGAGGCTTGGGTTGTGTAGGATTTAGATCTGTTTTTTTTTTCACAGTTAATTAACTTCTTTTCAGAGATAGAAATATACAAATAAAAGAGCCGGCTAATAACATCAAAAGCTAGACAGAGGCGGAATAAGCATGACAGCTGGTATAGAAATCATATTAATGTCCTTAAGATAGCCGCCTGGATCCTATAAGGTTCCTATCGTATGGGCAAAATTAGAAAACAGTTCCAGGTTACTGTCGATATCTACTGAAATTAAGAGGCCTATGTTTCTTACTAAGGTGTAATTACCACTTTCTCACACATTTTCCCCCGAGCCCTCGTTTTACTTAAATTTCCAAGTACATTTTAACGGATTTAAATTTCTTATGACTTTGATCAAGCTCAAAATAAATATATTTGACAACAGAAATACTTGAATTGTCGAAAAGTAGACCGTTCTTACAACTAAATCGTTTAACAAGGGAGTTATGACTCTAAGATCTTAGTTCACACAAAGATTTACCACGAAAATTCAACTGTACGATGCTATTCATGTGATGCTGACCAGCCGAAGCTTTTATACTTGAGTATCCAATCCTTCTTAATGATTTCGGTAGCAAAATACTGTTTAAATACAAAATAGAGAACATTAGGACATATTCGAAAATGCCTTCTCCAGCAAACGTATAGAAGAATCTTTGTTTACAGTGGTTACCGCATTACCATAAGCGATAGAGTTTCTGATGGAGCTTCAAAAACATTAGTTCTGACTTTATTGTAAAATTACAAGGATTTAATTGGTCAGAATTTGAAAGAATGCATGTAGTTTTTATAAACGTAATTTGGTGCTGTAAGTCTAAACGAATTACCATGAGAGAATGAAAAGTTAGCCGAGTATTCATCTCGAACGCAACTTTTTCGGATTTCTAGCCTTAAATCAATCAATCAATCAATCGAAACGTGGGGTGATGTTGTCCTACATGACCGAGAGTGAGCTGAGAGTAAAATAATGAGAAGGTGGGGTGATACGTTTTGGGGAATTTGAACATTTAAAAACTTAAAACATTTGTGCCTTCCGTAAAAATCGTCCTAATTTAACGAACACCCACGATATCGATCTTCCTCCCTTAAGTATAATAGCGACTTTAGAATGAGGATTTTAGTTTTTATTTCGGGGACTGCCAACAATTCCTGGCTAGTTCTGCTGTAATGTGAATTGCGTCACTTTAAATTCTGAATCAAAAAACATTTATCAACACTGCATAAAAACCTCTCTGTTTTTAAGTACTCCAGTTTTCACGTAGTTCGTAAACTTCTTTATTGTATATTTCAGTGATTGTTGTCATCAGTGGCATGCAAAAACCCTCTAGAAATGATTCCTCTAGATGATACTTTAAGCTTCAATGATAGCAATCAAACTCCTAGTTCAGCAAGTTAGAAAAAAAAGTGGTGATTTTAAATTGACGCTGAGCGTTGGTAAATAATGTATTTCCCTTTTATCTCAGTTTAAGGCCTCCAGTGCTACGACTGCATAGAGCTCGGCTCGGCAGATGACGAAGAAAGCCTTTGCTCAAAGTCGAAATTGGACGCAGATGAAGCCAAGTATGTAAAAAATTGCTCACTGGGCACCTGCCAGAGGACACATGGCACTGCTTTGGATGTTCATTCTGTAGTGATGACCTGCACCACTGAAGGCAACTGTGAAGCAAACAAGAAAACCTGCGAGGATAGCGGAGACGATTGCGGTGTCGCGTGCTGTACAACTGACATATGCAACGCGGACTCGTCCGTTTCCTTCAGCTTCGTCCTGATGGTTATTTCCTCTGCATTGTATCTGGCGCTACTGATGTAAACTGAAAAGCGAGGAACCCAACTTTATACGTGTGACTTTCATTTGCTGTATTGTTATTCGGTTTTAGTTCATATTGGCAATGGTACTGATAACACCTTGCCAGGGGTTAACTCAAGCCTGTAAATGATGTTTAAAACATCGAACGCGATGCTTTTTGGTACTCAGTGTAAGACCTAGATTAAGTAATAAAGTAATAAAGTTCTCACTGACTTCAGCTTACAATCACTATTTTGAGAAATAAAAGAATGGCGACACGAACCATCCTTAGTAAAGGATCTATTTTTCCTCTTTACTGTCGTCTGCCTACGATGATATATTAAGCCGTTCGATCAGGTCTATAATATAGGCAGTAGCCGCGAGACGAGTCTACAAAATCTATAGAGCACGTCGATAAACGGGTATGAAAAACTATGCCTTGTGTAGTCCACAATATTCCGTCTCCTACTTTTTCAATTAAAATTCATATTAGACCATCATAGCCACGAAGTAACAACAAATAAGCATTTACAAAAATTTCTATTAAATCTATAGCTGCCAATTTGACATTTTTCCTTTTTCTAAGCAGAAATTTAATTCTCAAGTTCTTACTTGCCAACCACAGACACACCACCCAAACCCACACACAGTACACAACGCAAACACAGAACGAACTAGTCAAGTTACCGAATCTCTTTCTGTAGCATGCCCGTGACAGATATCACTAGAAGTGTAAAATCACAACCAAATGCCAGTCTGACACTAAGGCCTAAATAAACTAGCTTGTTGTCGTAGTGCCAGCTTTGCGTTCTGTTACGATATGTAAATTTCTGTAGCTGGAATTGTCAGCGGACTTTCTGCCGTACATATAAATTATGCATTTTGAATCGTTAGTTTAGTCTTCTACCGTTAGCTGAGTGAATAAAGCTTCGAAACACGTTCAATTTTGATTATCAAATTATACACAGTTGGGCTGTGGTTTCATTACTATCTACATCTTCAGTTAGGGGGAGGGGGTGGGGAGTTGACTGGGTAAAAATTCACATTCTAACGGAATTTAACCAGCTAGTAAGCGCAAACCGCAGGAAATACCAGCTAACGGTTGGCCTCATGATGGTGGCTGGCCATGGGTTTCCCAGCCAGCACGAAATTGATGGAGTACAGATATGTAAGGGAATAGAACCATTACATGGCCCTGTACAGCCCTTTACCAAATTGTCAGAACACGTTAGAAGTTGAGAGAAAAAAAAAGTTTGAACCATACAATAAAAACACACAATGATTTCATGAGGAACTTAATTTTACCACTGAACGTGTTGAAAAGTATGGCACGTAATGCAACATGATACAGACACCATATATATTAAAAATTCAATTCCTGGTCACACCCGTTTTATTTAAGTGTAATCTCTGTGATCTAAGAATGTAAACAATAATATTTTTAGCTTTAATTCGGCAGAAAAATAATAGTATCCAGCCTGGGTATGAAAAATATTAACCTCTTACTAACCAAACGTCAGGGCAGTACGGACCGAGCGCAGCAAAAACGACCGAGGGTCAATATTTAGCTCTTATTAACCGAGCAGGAGGTCTGTATGGGAGAATCTTGACCGAGGTCAGGAGTACAGACTGAACGCAGTGAGGTCTGTACACGCGATCGAGGTCAAGATTCTCACATACAGACCGACTAAGTTCGGTTGATAAGATGTTTATTATATGGCAAACGAGAAAAAATCAATTCGTTTAATGTAACTGGTGTGTACTAGCTGACATTTTGCTTGCGAACAGCGATGAGCTCAACTTCATTCTGCCAAAGTTTGCTCGTCCTCTTTACTTTTTTTCCTCATTAGGCTTGGCATTTCCATAATATGAATATTTTCTGGAACTAATATTTTGGAAGAAAATAATCATATTTTTGTATTTAGTTTGCAACTTTTTCACGGCAGAATGTAATCGGTCGAGATGCCGGTCTAGATGGGAAAATCTAGACCGCGGTCAATATCGATTTCAGCCAATCAAATTCGTGAACTTGGTAGTTCCCAGTCCTTGTGAGACACAGCCATATAATAATCCCCAGTACAGCTCGAGCAGGCTTGGTTAGTAAGTAGCTTATTAAATGGCACTAAAAAACAAAAAATACAAACATCTTTTGTCCGTTTCAAATCCCGACCATGAAAGAACCAATCAGATCGCTCGGATTTACCTCAAGGCTACCTTGCAATATAACAAACATTCTTATAAAAAATAGAGCATTATAACTACAGACTTCGACTACGAGTAGTCCCTCTTTCAGCTTCTTTCGCTTAGTCCGTCGTGCGTGACGCGAAAGAAAACTGCGAGAAAAAATAACCTGGGGGCGAGAAGTTCTCACTCGACAGAATATTAAAGCGAAAGAGGAACTACTCTTACTCTACTACAGACTTGCTTAAAATCTTCAACTCTTACTTAGTTTTAATAAAGAGTTTTTTCAGTTGAGGACGGAGCTCCTGAATCTTCTGTTTAGTTTCTTGAGAAATGTAGCATTGAAACACGTATAGTTCACTAAGTCTCTCACACTTAGAGACGAGACACAGCAAGGCTTGTTCGAGTTCTTCACTGCCTGTGGTGCTGACGGACAGCCTTTCTAAGGTTTCGCTGTAGTTCATTGCCGCGAAATAAACTTGGGTCACAACGCTGGACATGACCTCTAATCGCAGGTTTTTTACTGGTATTTCTGGCTTTAAAATCGTGTCTACCTTGAACATAGGGCATGAAGTGTCGAACGCTAGCGTGACACGAAGCTGCGGAATCTTCTTCGTGACAAGCTCCCACGTTTCTGAGGTTATGTCTTTTCCAAATTTCTCCTCTCGTCGACAGTCAATAGATAGATGCTCTAAGGCGGTACGGTCCTCCTCGGTAAACAACAGCAATATCTCCTCAGTGACACTGGTGTGATGAACAGCGAGCGACTTCAACTTCCGGCACCTGTTAACAACATTTTCTATGCAACCGGAAGACACTTTGCAAACAAGCGAAGCGTTTTGAATATTCAATGACTCCAAGTCGGGATTATTTTCCACCAAACAGTTGATTAAATCGTCGCTGTAAGCAATCGGTAATTTACTAAGGTCCACGGACTTCAGTGTGAAGAATATTTCGCAATCCTGCTTTGGTTTATCGAACAAATCTCGCAAACAGTCGATAAATTCGTGACCGGCGTAGAACAAAGGATTCTCTCCGACAAACTTGACAACAAATTTCTCTAGCCGTCGCACTTTAATACCGCTTAACATACGGATAAGAGTGCAAGCGCTTTCTCTGTTGATGTTTTCGTCTTGCTTACACTGGATCTCAACACGCTTAAGATACTGACCATGATTCTCCAAGAATTTGCCGTATTTGAACTCCCTTGCATCGACGAATCTGAACAGAAATGTCTGCCATAACACTGAGGAATGAAAACATTCTCGCCACTGTTTAGAAGCTAGCGAAGCTGAAAGCCTGTCTGGTAGCCTGAGGTATGAAAAGATCCCCACCACAATGTGCTCAGGTAAATTTTCCCACTTCGGTTCTTCCATCGATGGAATCCACGAGCAAACAGATGAATTCAGCAGTACCAGCGTTGTTGTGATCGGAATTTGAACGCTTCATTAATAGTTCCATGACCTCGTGACTCAATTTGAACAACTTGGTCTATTAATAGACAACACGCAAATATGCGAAAAATATAAAGGGGCTTTTATTTGCAATATTCGTGTTAAAAAAAAAAAAAGAATATTTTACGCGTACACATTGTTTTAAGTATTGAATACGTGGCTAAACAAGGTTTCTGTCACTGCTGCATGACTGAGTGACATAAGACAAAGATGAGGCAAGATAGTTAGGTCATGATGTAACAAAGCCAGTGAATGTCGCTAGAAGATAGACTAATGCAAGAGATTATCTCTTGACTAGTATGAATAATGTTTTCTTAATGAAAATGCAAAACAACAGAGAAACAAATGTGAATAACGCGGGCAAAAAATAACATGTAAAATAACTATGAAACCAAGAACAAATGATTATAAAAAAATAATAATAATAATACAAATCTAAATCTAAAAAAGCATTCAAAATAACCGAAAAAATAATTCAAAGTTAGTAAAAGACATATTTTTGTTTATTTTATTTAATTTTTGGAGCAACTTTCTCGAGCAACTGACTGTTGTGCGAAGTTTTATAGCAACCTGCATGCACTAAACTTGCAGTTTTAGCGTGTATCGACTTGGGCTCCTGTAACGGTGTGGAACTTTTAAGATGAACTAATCATGATTTACCGATTGCTAGCCCTTGGCAGATTATTGGAGGAGACCAGCTAATTATCCCTCGTTGTCTATCATCTGTTCTCATCTCATCAACAAGGGTAACATTATGTTGAAGCAAGCGACAACTCGAGTAGGAACTGATATAGAGGAATTAAGAAAACATCTCAAGTTTACATGTCATTCAAGAAATTTGTACCTTGAATAGATTGTAACTATTAATCAATCAATCTATCAGTTGTAGGTTTCAGGCCTAACAGTAATGTGTGCCTCGTCAAGTTCACATTCACGTTTCGTTGAGGCAGCGTGGCCGAGTGTTTAAGCATCCTCGGGGACCCACGGGCAGTTAGTCGGGTGGGAGGAAATAAACCGGGCAAAAAAAAAACTGAAGTGTCGAAGGTTTACAAGTAAGGTGGGAAAAGCGCTTTTCCCGCCTTACTTGTAAACCTTCGACGCTTCAATTTTTTGCCCGATTTATTTCCTCCCGCCCCGACTAACTGCCCGTGGGTCTCAGAGGATGGTGTTTAGGGTGCTGGATTTGAAATCCGGAGGTCGCCGGTTCAAGTCCCGCTCTGACCACTTAGCTGGAGATGTTTCTCGGTAGACCCTAGTTTAACTCCTCGGTCATGTTAGTAAATGGTCGTAAAGAGCCAACTAACCTGTGAACAGGCTCCGGCTGGAAGGGTCGTGGGGAGGAAAAGGATAGAAGAATGACAAGTTTTTGTCGCTACGCATTCGGACAGCTTGGAAATTTTCAGTCCTCGGTTTTGTTCGAAGGCTAATAGTGGGCGGAACTTTCCTCTTTTCTGCTGTTTAGGTTGGAAGCCGAGCGATGGAATTTTCAGGTCGAAAACCGCCTCGGCGCTGGAGCCGTTCCACTTATGAGCCGTTGGACTTTCCACCCCTTTATTATTATATGTAGTAAACAGCGTACTTAAACTGAATACTTCAAACCTTCTGAAGTTGGCAATTTTGAGCCAAAAGGACGACAGCCACCATATACTTTTACGTTTACTTTTATTGAGCAAGTATTTGTTCCTATCTTCGTGATTTTATGCGATTCTGCGAAGTGTTCTGTTAATCCCATACATTTGCTATAAAAATGTAAATTCAGATGTTGGCTATAGTTTCGTGCTTCCAGCTTAGAATAATGTACACTCTTTCTTTTTTATAAGAATATCGAAGCTGAAATTTGCGAAATTGTGAAAAGAATATTATTTTGTGCGTTGAAAATCTGTAAATACAACACAATGATATATATCTTATTAGATGTTTTAGTGTGTAGCATCGCTGTATATTTTTACGAGTTGTGCCGTATTTTGACGAGCCCGTAGGACGAGTCAAGATACAAACAACGAGTAAAAGTATAAAGCGATACTACTCACCAAAACATCTAATAAGAGATTTATTATCCAACTGCTGTAGTCAAAAAATTTATCA